TTTACACCAGGCCTAAGCCAGCAGGAAGCTATTACTTTATCCAGAAAAATGATGGGTGAGTTCACAAGTGATCCCTTCCTCACTTTAACACCGAACAGCTGAATCACAGTGTTGAACTTTCCGTTGTGCAAATAGATAGCAATAAACTTCAAAGGCTCTGTAGTGTTAAATGCTAAAATATATTTTAACCTCCTTATTATACACGCTATAAAATTACACTAAAAAGTTCAAGTTTCTGAAATAACAATTACCTTTCCATAGAATATATATGATTTTTCATTTTTTAAATTTAATTCCTTTTTTTTTTTTTTAAATACCCATGATAAAGATATACCAGCTCCAGTATGGCTGTGTTTCTTCATAAGCACCTACCAGAGTCCTGCACATAACCAAAGCCTCACCTAAAAGTCACTTTTCCAGGTACGCTACTTTGGCCGCCCTCTCTTTTTCCCTTCCCTTCTTCTTAAAGCACCTTCCCGCACGTCACGCTCCCCGGCTGTATTACCCTCAAGCTATGCTGCCCTTCCAGCAGGTGGGCTGGAATTCAGCCCCCTCCGATGAATAAACCGAGCCACACGGCCATGGATGGACCGGCAGCTGGCAACGTTTTTCGCCTCGTGGTGCACCTTCAGCGCAGTACTGCGACCTCCAGGTCCGACAGCATCTAATTCCGTCAAACGCGCGACACCAACGGGAGTTACTTCAGACCCGTCTTCTCTTTCGTAGCCACGCAGGGGGCTGATTTTCCACACACAAGCTGTACACACGCTACGACGGCCTACGTGCAAAAGACAGCGCCCGGTGGTGCTGGCTGCACAGTGTTCAACAGAAAGCAGTCTGAATTTCACAGATACATCACCCACCCCAGTGATCTTCTCCACGGTTTTATCCTCAAGGAGCACCAACAATTTAAAATTTTCAACTTTAATATACATATACACACACTTTTTAAAATTCTGTATATACACACGCACATACACGTGGCATCCGTACATTCACCGCAGGAGGAAGTTATTTACAATTAGTTGGAAAAACTAGATTGTATCAAGTTACAGTATACCAAAACAAAATTGGCATTTGTGCTTTCTGTTTGTACAGGAGTCATTTTCTGTAGTTTCAAAAAAATTGATATTTTTACTTGCATCATCATGTCACATGATGAAAAACATCAGAGAACAGCTAGGGTTGAGAATTACAGAGCATCAGCTTTCCTTACTTGCCCCACTAAGTCTAGAGAATAGGTGCTTTCTATAAAAATGCTCCATTCAAACACCTATGTGGTTACCCAAGCTTGCCTGAGGGTCTTCTTAATAAATAATACCACACAGCAAAAGAACCACGCATCCTGTCGTACACCGTGCACATCTAGGAGATAAAAGTTTCTGCCTTCAGCAAGTCACACGTTAATCAAACAGCACTTAACCTTTTTACTCGGGACCTCAAAGTGCTTTTAAGAAGAAGGAAATACCCCCGTTCTAGTCGTAGTTAAGAGGCACAAGGAGTAAGGCTTGAATGACTGTCTTTTCTCTAGGAAGCATGAAATAGTTTAATAAGAAATACGTTTAATTAAAACCAGCTAAGTTTAACCTTCATAGTGCTTTATTAAGGACAGGTGGCCTGATACAGCAGGCTTCCAGTACCCCTGTGACCAGGCTAACAAGTATTTTCTGGCCTACTGTAACTTCAGCACTGGGCTACATAAAAGTGACTGCCTGCCTCATCTGTTTACGCTTCACTAACCACTGGAGACCAAGAAAGTATTGCCAAGATATAAAATATTAAATAACTCATTAAAAACTAAGAGTGAATTTGTATTTTTTTTAAAACACAGAGCCCGTCAGGCTGGGTGCCAAAGGAAGACTGCTGCCCTCCACTTCAGCAGCTGAGACAGCAGCACGTGTACCGTTACTTGGCGAGCGTTCGGATTGTTTTAGGAGTGAGAGATCTTCTGTGTCCTAATGGGAAGTCATAGCATTCACATTCATTTCAGGAAACATTCACCTCTCCCAGACCCCAAACTGCTCTTCCTTTAGCTGTTATCCATGTGCACATTTGCAACGCTTTTCCACAGGCTTCTTGTAAATGGAGGTTTCTTCTAGTCCCCTGTTTTGACAAACTACACTCTCAGAGATGGCTGCAGGACCCCTTTTTCGATGAGGTGAGATTTCAGGGTTTTATACACGCTCAGTTGTTGCTCAGGCTGAAGTATCAACAGCTGTTTCAGTAATTTGCTGGGATTTGGACCCCTATCAATAAGAAGAAAAACATTTTTTTTTGTGAGCAGCAGCTCTAAATAAACTTTTCAACAGCTTTTCCATTTTCCTCTTGATGCACAAACAATGCTTCCCCTTTTTTGGGGACACCAAGTTACAGGTTTCTCCCAGTCTGTCTCCTCGGGAGGCATGGATGAGCATTACTGGCAAAGCATTCTCCTTATCTCAGTCTGAACGGAAACTAAAAAGCATTTCTTGTAATTGCCTGCAAATGGTCATCACGGAAGGCTCATGACAAATAAAATTCACAGGTTCATCCTTCATCACATAATCGACATTTTTCATCAACAGATCTTTTTTTAGTGTAGCATCTGTTGCCAGGTGAGCTGTGCACTACTGAACTAAATGGAAAGTCGGCCAAGTCAGTAAAGAAAAAAGCGAATTAAACCAAGCTTTTCTACGTAACAGCCTCGATTTTAGCTGGTCACTTTTTTACAGTCTACTTCTAAGATGGACCGAAGATGGGGCAAAGAATCTGTTGCTGATTTGGTATCTAATAACTGTTTTGCCACATGTGTTTACAGAACTAAGGGCAGGTATCAGTTTGGGCACCCACAGCCCCTCACCTTGACCCCCCTGCCCCAGGAACGGAAATGACTCTGTAAGAGATTTGTCATTCCCATGATTTCTTCTTGGAAGCCAGTGTGGTTCAGGGAAAATGAGCAGTATTTTAAAGAGGTCGTCTTCCCTCTTCAGCCATAGTTCTCATCTTAAACAGAAAAGTCAAGTGACTGAGAAAAACTTAAACTTACAGGAAGAACTGCAGCCTCACAGCCAACAGGCTCTTCAGGAACCACACAGGGAAAGCAGATGCTGCAGAACCCTCCTGCCCAAAACCCCATCTTCACACCTTCTCGTCATCACTAAATTCCAGTAAAACTTCTCAGAGGCTGCTACACCAAGCTTCCTGGTACTCAGGGTACAGAGGTCACCTTTAACATCAGGGCATAGCTTGAACCTGACACAAACCCTAGGCAACGACGCGTGTTCACTTAGTGGTTCTGTATTTGGAATCACGGTGTAGATCAGATTTAGCAACCGGCGGTCCCCGTGGTGCTCACAGCGCAGAGTGCAATGGGGACAAAGCGACTATGGCACAGCCCCTGCGCCCGTACCTTATGAAACTGGTGATATAGACGTGAACAAACGTGGCCATCAGGTACTGACAGTCAAAGCGATCCATTATCCCACCATGCCCAGGAATCGTGTCTGCGAAATCCTTTTGGGTGTGAAGGACGGGGAGGGAAGGAAAAAAAGAAAAGTCATGGTCAGTGATGCCAATGAAACAGAAACGATCCATCACTTGGCAGCAGCACGTTCAGGCCGCAGTCAAGCTATGGTTTCACTGCACTGAGCCAAAAGTTAGCAAGAGCCTCCTTTGCTAAAGGAGTTTTTGAATGCAAAGGTGGGTCAGGGGGTGAGAAGAAAAAGAAGATATGAAGCCAGTTGTCCACAGTACCACACACGAGGACAGCGGTAGGTCAGGTGCGGGTTTGCCAGCACTGACTACGCTTGCGTGCCTATACATGATTTTGTAAGCAAGCCTCTTAAGCTAATGGCTCTTGTCGCTGCAGAATCTAATTCTCCTCTGTAACGTTGTTATTGCTTTGTCTTCTACTGGTGCTGCTGCTGAAGCACCTGTTACCAGGGAATATACATTTGCTACAAGAGAAGCACTAACCCGAGGACCCTTTCCACCATCTATCGCTGGCTTTTAACATACTGCCCTTTCACCTGCCCTTTTTTCCTCTGGGTCCTTGGTAGCCCCAGTTAAAAACCATAATGTGTGCATGCAACCTAAATCTATTTAACAGAATCTGAAAAAAAACTGCAGTGAAAAAATTATCACTCATTACAAAAGAGTTCCTGATGCAATCAAAGCTTGATACACTGGCTTTGTGTTACCTGATTTTGTATGTGGGAGAGCTTTATCAGCCCAACCACCCTCCTCTCCCCTTTCTGTCATCCGCACTCGCTTACGTACTCGCTGGGTGAAAACCCTGACCTTGGCCGTGCGGGGAGACTGCCAGCAAGTTAAACCAGCGCCGTGCCAGCCCTCCAGCGCTGGGCAGGCACGTGTGTCCAACCCAACCTACGTGCTGCCTTCAGCAACAATTCCAGAATATCCCCGTCTTCCCAGCAGTCCTTTGACCACCATCTTGGGGCCCAGAAGTATTTAAAGAATGTACTTTTTCATGGTCTACTTTAACACTAAGTGCTGCTTTTCAGAAGATTTTTTTCTTCAAAAAGCCCTCCTTTGCCCAAACAGTGTGTTGCTACCTGGACGTATGACAGCGCACGAGGCTGCAGCTAGAGAAGTGCCGGAGAAGCTGCTCGCACCGGCGTAAGGAAGAGGGGTAAGAACAAGCACACGTATGGGAGTTCAGCACAAACAGAGAGGTTTATATGCTTCTGTGCAAAGCACATGCCAAAACTGGTGGACACAGGGAACACCAACAAGAACAACAACAAGCAACAGGGTAAGAATTACAGCAGTCCTACCAAGACATAAAGAAGGTCGAGAGAAAATTTGGGGCTGCCCTCTTCCCATACTCCTGCTGCCACTTAATACCAGCCAGGGACAACACTGCCACACGCGACAGCGCACACCTTGCAATAAACAGAGGTTAGCACGTCACCTCGTTTGCCAATACACACTCTGGTAAGAAGGCGGCGCTGTATTGGCAAAGGTAGCCAAACATCTCACACTTCGGTGAGCCTGACACATCAGCGTCTGCGTATGACACAAATACCACTGGGACAGCACAGCCAGCCACAGTCTGAAGGGTAAACACTGTTGGTGCCTCTCAGGCATCTACAGACTGCCTTTCGTGCCAAGACTATGGCACGTCTTGTCTAAAGCGCTGCTGCAACATGACTTGGAAGAGTAATTAGCAACCGAAATAGAACCAAATTATTCTTAGATTTCCAACACTAAAGTCACACGTTGATTAGGCCAAGTTTTAAGAATAACACATACATATATCTGATAAAACTAAATACAGCTGGTGATGCTAAAAACCAGCTCAAACATCATCGCACCTTAATAGAAACGAGGTACAACAATGAACAATTAAAAAAACCCCAAAACCACCCAAAACCAAACCCAACCCACCAATTTATCTAATTCAAAGAGAAAACCAAAAAACAACGGGCTGACACACCTTGATTTTGAAAGCTCTTTTAAATCCACTGGCAAAGAATCCTCCGAATGGCCCAATTAATGAGGCAAATGTTGACAGTGCAATGCTGTGCATCTGAAATGGGTACATATTCACCGTTTCCTACAAGAAAAATAATTAGCAGCATTACAAATTTGTTTTGATCTGCTCAAGTTCTTACAGAGAGACTTCACTGGCATCAGGTACCTGTGCTCCTCCTTGACACAGATTAGAAAAAAGGGGCTTTTTTTTTTTTTGTTGGTTGGGTTGTTTTGGATTTGTTGGGGTTTTTTTGTTGATTGGGGGTTTTTTTGGTTTGTTTGGGTTTTCTGGCTTTCAGGGTTGTTTTGTGGGTTTTGTGGCTTTTTTGTAACTTAGTTTTGCGCACTTTGGAGTCAATGGTACAAGTTGCAGCCTTTAAGGGAATGCTATGCTGGCTTCATCCCTGAGAACAGAGCACACTTGTCCCGGCAAGTACTGATAAGCACGCTCTGTAGCTGAAAAATCCCCTACCTTGTGTTTCTGATTTACATCACAACTGGCTAACACCAATGAACTTCCTGACTACTTTGCGCAGTTATCCTAAGACACCTTTCTTTCAGGCTAAACTATTCAGTTGGTCAAACAGAAAAGTTTATGAGTTGGAAATATTAAGGTAATTTTGCTGGGAGAACACAAGGCCTGACATCTTTTGACACCAAGCAAAACATCTTCCAAACATAACATCTGGTCATATTTCGGAGAGAGAACATCAGGAATTGAGTTAACAGGGAAAATCAAAGACAAGCCGTTGTGCAAACAAGTAGATTCAATTTGACTTTTGACAAAGAGTGCTAAAACTAATTCTCTCCTCAAAAGGCTTGTTAGAGCCTGGCAAAAGTACTCCAGAGTTGCACGTGGAGCTACCATCTCTTCTGAGGGTTAACTGATCTCTCTACTAGACTGCCACCGAGCGGGGCGGTCTCATTTCCTTGCCCTTTACCAAAATACACGATATAGCTGGACACAGTAGGATTTCGCTCTGCTCAGTCCACATTATGTTTTTGTGCAGAAATACGCCTATTAAACTGCAATCAACCCTACAGTCCCTGAAGCAGCAATACGTTCATTTGGTATGAAAATACCAGAGCTCTTTCTCCCTGGTGCTGTGCACTTGCTCTTTGAAGTAAGGAAGTATGATTTCCATTTTAACCAAAGCCGTGGTTTTTTTCCTTACCCATCCCAACACAGCCTGAAACAACGGTGGCATGGAGTACTTCTTCAGCTGGAAGAGCTCTGAAGGTTCACACTCTGTCACAAATCTGTTGGTTTCACTGTTATATTCCACAGGGCAGACAAAGTACTGATGCTGAGCCAAAAAATAGGAAAACTGAAAAGCAAAACCAAAGACTCCTGAAATAAGCACTTGTTGTTAGGGTCAAAAATCATACTGTAGTGTACGGCTTTGTCATCGCAAGCTGAGGATAATGAAAGCCTTTTTAATAGCAGAGACCCAGAATGGAGTAAAATCAGCCTGTTTAAGTTGGAGAATGCCTCAAGAAGGCAGACAAATATGGACATTCAATGCACATAGTGATGATTTTGTAACTTGCTTTCCTTCTTACATCTCTCCGATTCATGTCTACTGGATGTTTCGGCATGAAAAAATCCCGAAATGGTAAGTTGGCCACACATCATTTCTTTGCAGATCATTTCTCCATTAGAACTTCAACTGTTGCTTCTACCAAGTTTGGCAGTGCCAAGTTCTGCTGACCTTAGCAATAAATTCCTTATCAGAACAGTTATTATGCTGTTAGGATCTTCTATGCATATTGTCAGTGTAAACTACTTCGCAGGAGAAATGTCATTATAAAGTATGTAATAAAAAAGTACTACTTTACAAAGCCTATATAATGCTATCAATACACTATTTCAAAAGAGGGATGCAACTCATATAGAAAACAATTCCAGCAATGCCAAAAACGGTCAATACAACCTGTTCAGGAGAGGTGCAAGCCCTGCCTAGTCTTTCCAGCTAGTTAGGGATTGGCAGAACTCCAAAAGAACCCCAAACCCTAACTCTTAGGCTTCAGCAGTGTGAGACAACCAAATTCGTCGGTTATTTTACTTCAAGCAAAAACAGGGAGTTGAAGGGTGAACCTATACAAGGAAAGTCCTGTGGTTACTTACAATAAATCCAAATACAACTGTGGAAAAGAAGCCTCCAATGAACCCTTCCCAGGTCTTCTTGGGAGACAGCTAGGCACAAAAGAGCAAGCGTTAGCCTCCTCAATCGCATCATTGAGCCCTTTTTTACTCTATTTCTGGGGTAAATATGTGTCATTTGCAAAAATGATGCTGCTACTTGGGTTTTCAAAGGCATGTGAGAAATACGGCATGTCAGCAGCTGCAGCCACAGAGCACGATGAGCAGAGGAGTGTGGCGAGGACCTGTCCCCAGCAAGGAGGGCAAGTGCCACAGTTCGACTGGTGCCGCCGGGCAGCTGCAGGCAACAGAGAGGTCCCTTCCCATCTGCGGCTGCCTGCCGCTGGCCACGGCTACCCTGACAGAGCAACCGAGCTCCTTCAAGCAGAAGGCTTGGAAACCTGCACGAGCAGGCTGCAGCTTTGTTGCAGACTTCTGCTAGCAAGTGCATTTTTAGGTAGTGACAGAGGCTGGGCGTAGACAGCTACTGCTGGGGATGCTCCATGGGCGACACTACCTTCTCACGTACAGGCTGGCAAACTAACACAGCAAATAACTGCAGGCCTAGAGAGACCAGGGTAGCAAGCTGTTTTCTTCATCAAATTCTATCACGTTTTCAATTTAGGAGCATTTTAATATCAGAACCAACTAAACGCCCAAAAGTTAACATGGCAACATCATGAAAAGAGTAATTCATGGCTTTCTGTAGGGTCTTGCATATTCTACCAGAATAAGAAGATTACGGTTTGAGCCCTTCTCAGTGCTATGTCAACAGGACCGGATAAGGAATGTGTGACCTAGTGACTTATTTCAAATTACAGTTTCTTTACAGTAAGCATGCAGTTAAACCTGCATATGAAATCCAAAAAAGCGATTCTTAACGATGATACAAGGGCCTTGAACAGAATTACACTGTAGTGTCAATAGTAAGTTCACATGAATCCCACCTTCCACTTAAAAATCTTCAGACACAGGACAGTCAATTTGGTTTTTAAGCAGATGCGTGTCATACAGTACTGAGGAAAGTATTTTTTCTGTGAACATGTTTTTGAACGGGTATCAAAAATGCTACAAATTGTAAAAGCTTGTTGGTGAGGAAGTGCCTAAGTACATACCTTAATTAATGGAGTTCTGCCAAAGAAGAATCCAAAAACGTAAGCAGCAATGTCATTGCAGATAACACTTGAAATTGGAACCAGAAACCTAGAGAAAGACATTAAAAGTTGTAGGGAGAACAAGAAAAGCTGCCCGAGCCTAAACACAGGACAGAAAATTGAAACAGCTGCATTTCTTGCTGGGAAATTTTTTGGTAGTATTTAGAAATAATTATGTTTCATCACGTGTTTGCCTAGTCCCCCCATAAGCAGCACATGTAGCTATACTGGTTTTGGTCTTCAGCCAATCGAAACCATTACAGATCCATGTTAGTTCAAGTTAAAATACTACTTTGGTGCACGAGCTTGACACATGAGCAGGCTGGCTTCTTCCTATCAGGCTTGAAGACTGGTACCACAGTTAAGAAGAAATCAACAGATATAAACGTGTTAATGTTACTTGTAACAGCAAAGCAAGCAAATTCCTTGTAAACTTTAATGATGTGTAAATTTAAAAAAAAAAAAAAGTTTCCTTTTTTTCCCCTCTTGTCAGTGTGGAGCAGCCTGTGATAGATTCCCTAATGTTCTTTTCATGCAGACAGCATCCGAGTTTGATACTCAAGCCTGTTAACCCCTCTTTTTTCCCCCTTTTCAAAGCAGGGATGTATTAATAAGCTAAAAGTCAGATGTTGCAACCATCTGCCAAATGGCCTGGCACCAGTGGAAATAAGAAACGGTAGGCTAGCAAGGCAATGAGTGTCAATCACAGTAACATCATCACTATGAAAATAATTTCTTTATACAAACTTTGCCAAAGGCTTTGGGTTTTCTTTCTAACTATAAACATGTCTTTTCTGCAATAACCTCCCTAGTTGTACACATATCAGGAAAAGAAAAGGGAGAACACGCACTACTATGTCCTCGGAAGAACACAAATCATCTTCCATGTGCTTCTTCCTCCTTTCTCAACTTGTAATTTACCCTGTCCCTAAAGTGGTGTATGGGAAAAGAACACACTCTCTTTGAGGAGTGGTTTTAAGTAATCAAATTTAACTGCATCATCAGAATTTAATATATTGCTGGAAATAGGGCGTTAAGATGACCCAACAATATCCAAGAATTAAACTCTTATTTTAAGCAATCTGCATTTATCTTAACAGGGGAGGTAGCAGGGAAGGTGGCAGGGAAGACGGCCAGATTGGGGATTTCAAGTTAAATGGTCCAACTTCAATAGGTCTGAGCAACCTGAAGTTCCCAAGTAATGGAAAAAGCATTGCTGGATATTCACCTCATTCAGCAAAACGCTATCAAACGATTTCACCAAGCATGCAAAGCAATCCTGTCCTTGCAAGTAAACGAAGTGGCTGTTCAAAACGATCATACTTGTGGCTGCCGATCTAGTTCAAGAGGTTTCTGCTCCCTCTCCTGTATCCTCTACCACCACACTCCCAATCCCTCTGACACCCCTTCCAACTAGATGTTAATGCTCCTTTAATTTGTGCCGCTTTAACGGTTCCCAGGAAAATTCCCTAACCAGACCTACGTAAAAGAACCAACCTTTCAATGCAATAGAGTTACAAATCAGTTCATTACTGTCCCCTTACCAGATCATGCCTTCAAAGAGATTTTGGATGACAAGATGAGATTGAGTTACAGTGATCAGCAAAGTGACATGAGTCCATGCGAACTGTTAACAATGCAACAACACAACAGTTAGTGAAAACACCGATCCGTACACCTCGATAAATACTGGCGTGTCAGCTAGAGGAGCTACTTCGGAGCTTCCAGAAAAGACCGGTTCTAGTGACGATGCAGGAGATGTGTGCATACAGTATATCACAATCAGCTGGCTTTCTGAAGCAAGTACTGAAACTTTAACAGCTTTCCCCACCACTTACCTCCACCCAGAATTTTTCAACATGCAGTTTAAGGTCTGATTTAGTAAGACATACGCCTGCAGCAGGAGAGCAGCAAAGCAAGGTAAGCAATGTGATATTCTGTACGTACATGTAACAGGCATGGCAGAACGGTAACAGGAAAATGGCATTGAACTACTCATGACCAAGTCGTGTTACACAGACGTGGGTATCTCTCATAGCAGAATACCAGTCCTCTTAGGAAACATGAAAATTCTCAGGATTAGCACAAAGTGTTAATTTTGATGCGCACGGTCACTTAAACAGTCATTTTCCTCGGCATTGCTCTACGTATTTGGTGTTTATTCTGTAGCACCAGTGTACAATAAAGTGGTTTCCAAACCGTTTACCAGTAAAGATGCTACACTAGATTTTGGTTTCCAACAATTTTGAAATCAAGAACTGGTAGTTTTTTCCCCTGAAAAACCAAATATAATCACTCTAAATGGCCGGGTGATTCGGCACTCAGAATGCCCTACTTCTTCTGATTCTCTCATCACACGTGTTTTCCTGTGGCAGCCAGCGTCTACTTCCAGATAAAACAACTCAGCCAGGCTGAAAGGGAGGGTGCAAGAGCTGCCTAAAGGTTTCTGAAAATCCACCTGCTGGTTCATGAGAGCATCTCTGCAGCAAAATGGTTAGTATTTGTACAGTAGTACTGGGACACCACCTGAAACCAAACGGCTACTCCCCTCGCCAGGCAAACGCAGGGTTGCTAACCAGTGGGTACACGGCTTCTCCCTGGTTTACTGTGGGTTTTATGTAGTCAGACCTTAATGTTTTCTGGGCAGGCACCAAGCCACGTGACTGACACGCACTTTTTCTGCCTTCTTTCAGGAGGGAAAAAAACATGTAAAAGGAACCTATTTACTTTGTGCCAATCTAAAGAGGATGACTTTTTTTCAGGTAAAGACCACCACTCCTAGAAAAGCTGCATCTCCCTGTCAGGCAAGTTCTCCCACAAACAGGGCAAATTTTTTCGAGTAGGTTATTTTTTCACAGGCTCGTAGAGGGCTCACATAAGTCCTGGTCTAGAATTAGGGATCCTCAATGGTAAAGTGCTACCTGAAGCACTGTAGAAACAGAAGGGTTAACCGCAGCCCCAGAGCTGCAGGAAATCTTGATGGCTGTGCTATGCCCTGACTGCTCAAGTTCTTTAAAGCCAGGAGCTGCGCTGCATTACTGTTTTACTGTGCTTCTAATTCCTACATAGAAGTGGGGTAGTTCAGTGGGGATTTTTTGGGTTTGGTTTGGGGGGTGAGTTTTTTTTACCTGTGATGTTACAAAATTAGTTTTCAACCTATAAGACACATGTAAGAAAAAGGTTCATGATCTTGATTGGCTACTCTGCTGTTTATGAGGTGGACAAATACAAGAGAGAGAACACTGGTTTCTTGTAATAGATTAATGATCTACTGAGGCACAGCAGAACTGAAGACCAGAACTGCTGCTAAGCATCACAGAATACATCTTCCACGTAGGGGTTAAAATCAAGTTCCCTTCATGGTCCTTCAATAGGGCCTCTACAAAGTAACACTTGAGTCACAAGAGCCACTTCCCACCCTATGCTGAACTACTTAGTTTCAGACCTGGGAGGGAAGCGCGCACCTCTTTCTCCAGGAAGTTCTTTTGTATCAACCTATCACTGGGAGAAACACATCACGTTGCGCACGTGCAAGGCCTCACCAGTGACAGCTTGTACTGACCAAACGGCCACGCCCCAGGATACGATGAGGATAAGCTGCAAGGTGAACAGATACCCAACAGCCCAACACCACTTGCTTTCACGTCACCGTCAGTGTAAGCCCATTTTCCACACCCTTCTTCCAAGCTATTTCATGAGCACAGGGACACGGCTGTTTCTAGCGACATTCACAACGTGAGTGACCACAGCAAAGTGGGTAATACACACCATGTAAAACTGCAGACGATAATGTTTCTTCACTAAACTCAAAACAAACATGCAGAAGCCTGTAAAACAAAGCAAGTGTAGTTTGTACCAACTCATACGTAATTACACTGAACTGTGACATACCAGTAATTTTCTTCCCTCGGAGCAGCTTTTAATCCCTCTGCTGCAAAAGCATTTGCTTGCGTTCGGTGAAGTGTGCATACAGAATTTTTCTCATCAGAGCACAGGATCAGTTAACATCAGTAAAGACCATCCATTTCATTACTTACAGGGTCCCATTGTAGACATCAATTTTTAAGGGAGGAGACCATCGTCTTTAAAAACCACCCAAAAAACAGGTCGACAAGCTGCTTTTGAATAATTAACAGAAACAACTGAAAGGAAAGGACCAGCTTGCCTCTTTCCCCCCAAGAGGCGCAGGGCTGCACGCAACGCAAGCATGAAGCAAAGGCATTGGAGAAGTCAGCTGACTGGCTGAAACGTTCCGGGTGGCTAACAGAGCGCCGCTGCTCTCCTAAGGCAACTTCCTGCACCAGCAGGGTCAGAGACTGGCAAAAGACCCCCAGCCCTGGGGACAGTGGCCCCACAATCCCAAAGCGACAGTCGCCAAGGGGCTCTGCTACGCCCTGCCTCCTGCTTTTGCTCACGACTGGCTTGTCTCATCTCTGCCCTCACTGCCCTTCAGCGGTCACAAGGCATTAGTTAAGTTAGTTTCCTCAAGCCAAAACCAGCTGAAGAAGGTCAAGGTTTGCAAAGCTGGTTTCATGCTTGCTATCTAAGCTACAAGTAGAATATTTATCTGGTTTTAAAAAAAAAAGAAACCAACCAACAAAAAACCAACACAGTAGACAGACTGACAGTTCATCATGAAGATCAGGTTTCTGAACATATTTTACAAGTAGTTGTAGCATAGCGATCTCCTGTCCCTTAGGCCAATCTCAGTGGTCAACTGATTCAAGTTTAGGCTAAAATAATACTAACTGCATTGCCGAAAATACCATGGACTGCATTCACAGGTTCACAAAGCACAAGATTACCAGCTTATGTCTCTTCTTCCTACAAGAGAGGCTTTTAAAAACTCTTTCTTTGGATAGGGAGCAAGATCTATCCATGAGGCAACCATCTGAAGAGCTTGCAGACAAAATAAAGCCTCAGGCATCTTGAAAAATCAGTTTAAATTATATTGGTAAATCTTACTGCTGTGGACTTAGGAGAACACTTGCACAATAAGGCATCAGCACAGCAGTTGCACATACAAGTCCCCTCCACAGACTGCCAAAAGAGCACCCATGTATTCTTGAGCCCCCATTCCTCAGCGATTAGAATGAATTCATGCCAACTTCTCTTGAGCGTTATTAGCTCAACTTTTTCAAGATCATCTACTTGTTCAGGCTGTGGCTTCTCAGTGAATGCAAAATTTATGTCTGTCTCTTCACAGGAAAAATGGAACTGCAAACACCTAATTTTCTTGAATATCAAGAGGAAAAAGAAACTGGAAGTGCATAAAAAGATAACTGTTCCCCAGATTTAAAAAAAAAAAAAGGCACAGAAATAACTGCAGCACAAAATTCTTTCATTTTTGCAATTTCCCACACTTACCTGTTAGATAGAGTGCAAAAGAGATAAATCTGTGGTACCGAATTAGGAATTGAAGCTGTTCTCTTCTCTGAACAAACGTAACAAAGTAATCAGCTACAGTCTCTCCATAAAAGAAGTAGTTCACACACAGCAAAAAGTACCTACAACATACAACAGCTAGCAGTTATTTTAGCAAGAAATATGCATTTAAGTGTCATTCTTAAAAATCAAAATGAACAAAAAACCACAACGACAACCACCACACAAAAGAAAAATGGAAGGGTGCAAAAGATGTGATGAAAATAAAATTTGAATATAAATTCAGCCTTATACTTTTGGGTCAGTGTCTCCTCTGAGAAGCCAATTTTTGCAATTTACTTCTTCTAAAGCAACCGCACTAGAAAAACAAACACAAGTGGCAGATACAGTTAGAAAATTCATCTCACCCTTAACTACGGCATTGAATACTCCACACCTATGCAAGCCCTTTTCAGACATTCTAGAAGTATAGAACAAGTATCTGCTATCATCCATATCGCCACAAGCAATCCTGCATATTCTCTCCCTGTATGCTAGTAAGGGTAGCTTCTGATTTCTGCCTTACAGACAGGACAAAAGGTACTTGCATAACGAATCCTCTGAGGTTATAGGACAGTGAATCTGACACGGGGCTTGAGGATCTGACTAACTGCATTTTTGCCATCTGGCCTGAACATTCTCATCTTAAAGAGATATTGCTGCATATCCTGCTCCACCTCACCATGCACTTCACCTTTTAGCTTTCTTGACCCAGCAATTATCTTACAGGGTTTAATCCATCTTACAGGGTTTAATCCATCTTACAGGGTTTAATCCATCAACTAACTAGTAAATGCGGCTATTTCTACAACTTTTCCAAAACAATTTGAGAGTCACAGAATCATTTGGGTTGGAAGGGACCTTAAAGACCATCTAGTTCCAACCCCCAGCCATGGGCAGGGACACCCTCCACTAGACCAGGTTGCTCAAAGCCTCATCCAGCCTGGCCTTGAACACTTCCAGGGATGGGGCATCCACAGCTTCTCTGGGCAACCTGTTCCACTGCCTCACCACCCTCTCTGGGAAGAACTTCTTCCTGATATCTAATCTAAACCTCACCACTTTCAATTTAAACCCATTACCCCTTGTCCTGTCACTACAGGCCCTTGTAAAAAGTCCCCCCCAGCTTCCTTGTAGCCCCTTCAGGTACTGGAAGGTGCTATAAGGTCTCCCCGGAGCCTTCTCTTCTCCAGGCTGAACAAGCCCAACTCTCTCAGCCTTTCATCACAGGATAGGTGCTCCAGCCCTCTGAGCATCTTCGTGGCCTCCTCTGGACTCGCTCCAACCAGTCTGTATCCTTCTTATGCTGAGGCCTCCACAGCTGAATGCAGCACTCCAGGTGGGTCTCACCAGAGCAGAGCAGAGCAGAGAATCCCCTCCCTCGACCTGCTGGTCACGCTGCTTCTGATACAGCCCAGGACACAGCTGGCTTTTTGGGCTGCCAGCGCACACTGCCGGCTCAAGTTGTGCTTGTCGTTGACCAACACCACAAATCCTCCTCAGGGCTCCTCTCAATCCATTTTTCACTCAACCTGTACTTGTGCTTGGGGTTGCCTCAATCGCCAAATGCCAAGGCAGCACTCAACCAATAAATAGCAAATCCAAAACCCCTAAGAGATGCACCTCTCTAGGCAACATGCTCTTCAGCTCAGAGGAGTTGATTTTGAGCTCCACATATGAAAGTGGTGGTGGTCAACTGCCAAGGTACACTGAGAGGTAGAGCGCACAGCTCCCCCTCTAAAAATTTTAGCAAGACTGCAGAATCATTCATGTATGAGTCTGCCCTAGCTGTAGATCCAGAGCCATGGAATAAAGCAGACAATAGATCAGTCCCCTGGATTATCTAGGAGGGACCAGAGGGGAAGTGATGAGCATGTACAGAGTTTTCCACCACATTACACAAACAAGTTGCTTCTAGAAATGAAACAGCAATGTGACAAGAGACAGAGCATAACCTCGATATTTCAATTCCTTAAAAACCAAACCCAGCACAAAATCAAAACAACACAACATCGGTCGTGCCTGAAGAATTGCCCCTAAGCACCTCAGAGACTACATGCGCCCAACACCTTCCCAGAACGCTGACTCCAATCAAAAGCCTCTAGTTTTCCTTCCAGAACTCAGAAGTTCATTTCCCCAGTTCTATCCAGCCTGATATAAGCTGGACATTGTCACAGATATCTTTCAGAAGATCCCCCAACACTGTATTTATGCAGACCTGTGATTAAGTGCGTGACTAGAAAGGATTTGAAACTTGCATGCTATTATTTTAATTCTCTGTGTGTGTGAAGAGGAACCTTTAAGGTACCTGTTTTATTTACTTCTCATGCAAGGTTAACAGCAAAAAAAATAATCCCAAACCTCATAACAGTTCAGGAAATAAGTATGAGGTGATTATTTGGCTCTGTGTATTTTTAGATAGATTATACATGCTCAATTCTGACTTAAAGCATATATACGTGCTTTAAAAAATTTGAAGTACTAAAAGGCCAACTGACTTGTCCAAGTTCAAGGTGGAAGACAACTACAGAATCCTGTATTAGAGACAGATGTCAACTTCTATGCCTGCACATGACCTACAAAGCTGTCCTTTCACCATGACAGGACATGAACAAGATGAAGGTTGAAGTTTCACATCGCTATTTATTGATGTTCTTGCTTACTACTCACCAGCTGAGGGATCTAAACCACGGTAAATCATATGAGTGGTAGACTCTGTAGCCTATAGTAATGATTTCGTGGTAACATTTCACTTGGATGCTTAGGACCTAAAATAAGAGAAATAAAAAACCATGTAAATATGCTGCAGCTGTTTCTTAAAGTCAGTAAGTAGCACTGCAACCCGCATTAAGGCGAGAAATTATTCTGAATTTAAATTCCACACAGAAAACACAGAGCTTCAAAGCAAGTCCAAATTAAAACTAAAGCTCCATTTAAACCCCCCCCAAAAACTCAAAACCACTAGGCGTGCTTAGAAAAAAAACATTGCGCCAGCTGCAAGAATACGCTTGTGAAACAAGGGAAAGCTCCTGAGTTTTCTCCACTAAAACAGTTTGGCAGCAGCAGCCATAAGTACTTTTTCTAAAGAAGGCTCTTCTGTTTCTTTTAGCAAAGTTTTATCTCAAAATTTAGCTCACAAAATATTTTCTAGGCGCAATGGAAAAAAGTAGATGTGCAACACTACTTGGACACCCAGGTCTTCCACTTGCAGGCGTCTCATTAAGGGTAATTAGCATTGATGATTAGAAGCTAAGATCATCTAATCCAGGTCTGAATGTCACACCCTGCACAGCCTTAATTTTGTTTTGCTGATGTCACTACTCCAGTGCTTGCCCGTGCAAGTCTGGTAGTACACCCTGTCAGCCTTCGGGCTCCGAAGGACTCTGCCAGTTTTGTCTAATCCAGCCAGCAGGCAGATCACCCTGCCCACATACGAAGCATTGCCCAACACAGGCTATCAGTAATCCCGTGCAGGGGCAGGAGGAAGAACCTACCCTGCCGACTGCACACACTGGCTCTGCAGTATTCTCGTACCACCTGCATTCATGAATAAATTTCATCTTGCTCAACGTGTGATCACAGTTTAAAACAGTCTTACACCACCCTAGTGAGTTAATTTTAAGCTCCGGTCCCTCGTGCTCTTTCTTCTGCTTGGCCTGTGTCATAAAACCTAATGCTACACGCAAGAACATTAAAGGATTGCACTTCACAGTGGAAAAGGACACTGGGGTCCAAAGGCACGGAAGCTTGTGCCTGTGACCTTTGTAGCAGGTAGACATAAAACATAAAACATGCCTCCCAACTTTTCAGAGCAGTCTCAGGGCTTGTCCTCCAAACTTCTCTGGATTACCCGTCCTACAAGTCTCTGGGCATTTTCACCCCCAGTATTAAGATTTTATTTCAACACAACAACTCTAGTTAAAAGATAAGATATTTGATTCCAGTTAAATGAAATAATTCACAAAGAAAAAACGGTTTTCCCTCCATTATTCTTTTTACATAGTCTCAAATGTCAACTTTATGAACAGTTTGTTGTATTAAAAGACACAGTTTTTGCTTTATGGTACAACAGAAGTAGTAGTCCATTCCAATTCCATACTAAGTTTAGTTACTTTTTGGTTCATCTCTTGACCATTTTGCCCAGAACTGCAGTTTCAGAGTATACCATGAATATACCAAATCACACTGCAAATTGATTAGTTCCCCTTTGTTTGTTATCATCATTCTCAATGGTAACAGACTATTAAAGGAAGGATGGCAAAAAGAAAAAAATAACTCTACAATGACCTGCACTTTTTTTGTTGTTGTTTCTTCACACAGAAAAAAGAGAACCCTCCACCAATGAAACAATGAATTACGAGTTTATTATGTGATTCACCTGAAAACAGGAAATATAAACCAGACTAATTCAGATATAGAGACTGTAATGCAGACCGTAATACTGGTGAAACAGCATTCCAGTCTCTAAAGACAGTTCAGGAAAGAACCCCAGGAGTTTATGACCTTTGGAAGAAGAGGCAGGGAACTCAGGTGTTTTACAGGGATGTTTGCAGGGAGAAAACTGGAAGGGTCAAAACCCAACTAGAACTTAACCTGGCTTCTGCCATAAAAAACAACCAAAATGTTTCTGTAAATGCATCAGCAGCAAACGGAGGGCTATGGTGAGTCTCCATCCTTCAAGGATGCCAGGGAAAACATAGTGACAAAGGCTGAGGTTCTTAATGTCTTCTTTGACTGAGTCTTTAACAGTAAGACCAGCTGTTCTCCAGCTCCCTGAGCTGGAAGGCAGGGGCAGGGAGCAAAATGAAGCTCCCATAATGCAAGGGGAAATGGGCAGCAACCTGCTACACCACTTCAGCATCCACAAGTCTATGGGACCAGATGGGATCCATCCAAGGATGCTGAGGGAGCCAGTAAAAGTGCTCACTTTCCATCACTTACCATCAGTTCTGGCTAAGCGGGGAGGTCTCAACTGACTGGAGGTTAGCCATTAACAAAAAAAGGCCAGTAGGAGAATTCAGGAAACTACAGGCCTGTCAGGATGACCTCAGTTCCATGAAAGATTATGGAGCAGATCATCTGAATGCCATCACGTGGCATGTACAGGAC